ATGAACACTGGCCTCCAGAATCAAAGGTACGCACTAATCACTAGCATTTCAATATTATACACTAAGGTCTAATTTAAGACCCACTCCAATTCAAAAAAACACCTCCAATCAACTACCACTACTGCTACTATTTTTGATATATATTTGAACTACAATTGATATTTTTAATATTGAATTCTATTCAATTTGTTGTAAATGAAATTTTTCGTAATTATAACTATAATTTTAATTAATATTTAATATTTAAAATATTTTATATATAATAATATTTAAATTATGTAATGAGTAGTTGCGTTACAATTTCTTTGCTTTTTTTGTAATTTGATGTTTGTTGGTGTTGGTGTGTTTATGCCAGATTCAAGGAACATTTCTGTATGTACAGTATTTTAATATGTGAATAGACTAATAAAGCTTATCTCTTAAATTAACATATTTCTTTTATCTGTATTATTCTAATTAGAGACTAAAGCTGCTAAAGACCATGGAAATCCTTGACCCAAAAGTGGTCTTAAATGGAGGGTGATACTAATTTTTTTTATGCAGATATAAGCCTTTGTTTTCTTGTACATTATTTTGTCCACGCAAGGCGCTGACCCCAGAGTCTCAATGTTTCTTACCAGAAATTTAAAAGCATCCAGCGTCACCAGTTTTAAACGGACATGCGGTAAATTTTGTACACATAAACTAGAGGTGATTTCCAACAAAGGTTCATCGCCTTTTTTTAAGTTGGATTCCAGGGTTTCCCCCTACACCTACAAAACAAAACAGGGGTTTCAGCAAGAACAGTACATTACTGCCATTACCAGAAATAGGGGTCGTTGCATGGATGGCGCGGTCGGCTAAAGAACTTATGGTTGTGAGTTCTAATCGCATCTTGGTATTCTTTTTTTTTTCAATTATATTACTCTTTTTTTTCAATTTTAAGATATTTTATTTTTGTATAAATAAAAATATTTTTTTTATTTAAAAATTTCTATTATATTATGTCTTCCAAAAATCCCAATATAATAAATTGCGTCTGTACCGTATTTAGGCGTGGAGGAACGCGTGGACCGGTGAGCTGCTGCTCTTGTATATTTCTAACATTTTTTTTATTCTTGGTGTAGTGTAATGTATGTTCAGGACTCGATCACTGCTGAAGCAAAAGTATTCCTTGATCCGAATAAACTTTCCGAAGGTGGAACGATGGCAATAAGCGGCTACGCTTTCAGTGAGGATGGTGAATACTTTGCATATGGGCTGAGTGCCAGTGGATCAGATTGGGTCACTATCAAGGTAAAAGTTCATATCAAACGCTGGCTATTCATGTGTGTCCTTAAGCAGGGCACTTTATTGCGTGGTTCACAGCAAACTTATATCAAGATTCAGATCTGCCCTCTGGGAAATCAGTAATTTGTTACTGAAGAGGAAACCCAGTATAAAGAACAAATAAATAAATAATGTGGGTGGTCTCTCCACAAAATGAGTCTCATGGTTAAAAAAGCAAAAATTGAATATTATATTTAGGTACAGTATATCACATTATAAGCTTTAATTTGGTCTTTGAATGGCTTCTCTAGGATAAGTAGATCCAGAGATAACAGCATTTAAAGTTTAGGTGTATGAGAAAAATATGTGCAGATCACATTCTTTTAGTAAGAAACTTCACTTAAAAAATATACATTTATAAAATATATGTATCACGTTATTTAAAAACATTAAAATCAAAATTTCGACATTTTAGTAAAATTCAACACCCCTTCTTTGAATAAAATAGAACAGTGTGGACCAGGTCTGTTTCAGGAACATAGGCAATTTGTCAGTTTATACAGGTAAGTATCTCACGTATATAGACTACCAACATCAAAATTTAAATAAAAAATGTGTGTAATCTAAACATAAATAAATCCAGTAATAAGAAAGACTATTAAGTATAATACATACTCCAAGTATTGAAATACACACCATCGTGATGGGATTCAATATTTCGACATTAATTATGTCATCATCTGATGATGACGACATAATTAATGTCGAAATATTGAATCCCAACACGATGGCGTGTATTTCAATACTTGGAGTATGTATTATACTTTCTTATCTGAGATTAATCAGTGGACCTTTCGGTTTTTAGAATCATCATCAACATTATCAATTTAAAGTCTTAAATTAATCCATGCTAACATGGGTTGGACTGTTCACCATGATATCTTTCCTCCAGTCATTTCTACTCTGCAGTTGCACAGCTTATCCTTAGCTTACGGAAATTACTGGACTGTGTAATAATTCAAGTAACTAGATTTAATATTGATGTGAAACAGGCTTATCTATTTTTGTGGCCAGTATTCTCAAAAGCAATTCAGGACTATAGTTAAACTTTGAAGTGTAATCCAATTATGATAATACACAACTTTTAACACCTTGTGAATATTATTAATTTTGTCTATTAGCAGATGTGTTATTTTTCAATAATTGTTCTGTTTTTCTTTGTTAGTTCATGAAAGTTTCTGAGATCAAGGACCTTCCTGATGTATTGGAACGTGTAAAGTTTAGCTGTATGTCGTGGACCCATGATGGGAAAGGACTCTTCTATAATGTAAGAAATTTTCTATGTAATTTAAATGCTCAATTCAATAATTAAGGATAACTTTGTTTATCTGATAAAGCTACCATATACTGCTGGCAAAAGCTTGTGTAATACTGTAAATAATTCTAGTTAGCCTATAAAATGCTGCCGAAATTTTTATTTTAAATGCCAGAATAAAGCTGTGTCCAGATTATCAAATCTTCTTTGTACGTTGTAAAATGTTGTATGGCCTAGTCAAGATGTGCCTATATGGTCATAATGTGATTTCATCATGACAATATTAGTTATTATTTCGGCATGTCACTTGTTGTTGTCAAATTAAATTTGGAAGTTTTGGACAGGGCTTAACATGGCTCTAGCTTTCAATTAAAAAATTAGAATGAATGCATAAATTTCGCACAAATGAGTTTCTATATCTACAACAATGAAATATGATCTTGAAGGCAGAAGTCTGATGCCTGATCTGTTGTTAAGCATGACAACGGTAAGACATGGAATGTAATGACGTCATTAATAGTCATCTGCGCATGCAAGAACGTTGAGTTCTCCTCGTCGCGTGGAGTGTAGGACGCAATTTGGCCAAATCTATGCATGCAGAGTATGTACGGTCACGCATGAGTGATTTGGTTCTAGCGAAATCAAAAGCTTCCTATTATCTTATGCTCTGTCCACGCTATCAAATTTTCTTCGACAAAAAACTGTTGTATGCTCATATATAGGCTATGTTCTCACACGGCTGCTAACGGTTAGCAGGATCCGGATCCTGCTAACCGTTAGCTGCCATGCGTCCATACGAGAAAATCCTGATCCGGATACCAAGAATATGATGATCGAATCACTGGCCAATAAGAAACTGGAAATTGTAAACGCGTACGTGTGATTGGTTAATGATAGAAACGCACTTAACGTGCTAACCGATAGCGCTTGCTAATCGTTAGCGGTATCCGGATACTGCTAACGGTTAGCGCTAACCGATCAGGCATTCTCGCACAGGTGCTATCCCAATCCGGATACTAGAACTCTTGTGAGAACCAGGCTTTTGTCATGATGGGCCTATACAGTATATGGTCATGATGAATTGTACCTTTCCTATTATCTTTAGCACAAAGGGCAGATTAGGTCAGTATGTTAAACTGGTTGTAGCCACTGTGTGTGCGCTGGACTGTGAAAATCTGGGTTCGCAAGTTTAATTCCCATCGCTGCTCTCCGTGTGTTTCTGCTTTAGGGCTGAAATGCAAGTTTCAATAGTGTACCAACTTTCAGATGAGATGTTTAAGCCATTGCTCCTGTGTGCAGTGTGGTCCATGTGCATGTATGCAGTACACTCTTTGGAAAAGAGTAGGGGATTGTCTGCCAGTGTACTGCCTAATCGCTTCTAGAAGAACCCCACTGGAAATAAGTCTTCTTCCTTGGTGTTCAAACCGAATAAGTGCAATCCATAAGCAATTGAACATTTTGATTGAATTTTGAGTGTTTATTCAGATTACGACGGTTATGTCCTTTGATTAATTTTTTTGCAGTGCTATCCTCTTCAAGAAGGTAAATCAGATGGAACGGAAACTACATCAAACATCCACCAGAAGCTTAAGTACCATGTACTGGGCACACCACAGTCAGAAGACATTCTGTGTGCTGAATTCCCTGAAAACCCGAAGTGGATGGGGTTTGTAACATTTTTTAAAAGTTAAATAAATCATCATTAGAGCAAAGATTTAGAGAGGCTATTGCTTTGAACTTCGTTCTTATTAATGTTGTCGTCTTTGTCATCATCATTGTTGGTGGTAAATTTTGTTACCACGATAACTAAAATTTTGTAAGTCCGATAGGTTTCAAACTTGGCAGAATGCAAGAAGGTAATAGAATGACAGCTTATTGTTTTTTGTATGTGTGTGAATATGTCAGTTGCACATTTGCATTTTATTTCACTAATCAGGAAATTTACTCCAAATACCACCATATAATAACTAATTTAGTTGAAATTCATTCATGTTGTTGTCGCTGTTGTAGTAAATTGTTCACCACGATAAGTTGATTGGTTTCAAACTCCTACTTATCAATTCTCTGAGAGAAATCACACCGTGATGAGGATATGTGTTAATTAATGCGCAGCGTAAAAACAGCATTTCTAGTTGTTTGTAAGCAGCATGTCTTGCGCTAAACTCTTCATGCTGACTTTCTCTTTAGACCATCAACACATATCTTATTTTGCAGGGGAGCTGAAGTGAGCGATGACGGCCTTTATGTTGTCCTGTCTATCAGTGAAGGATGTGACCCAGTTAATAGACTTTATTATTGTGATCTAAATAAACTTGAATTCAAAATTGAAGGTAATAGAAACATTATTTTCTCAAATGATATTTTCATGATGACAAAAGTATTGATTCAGGTTCTGAATTTAGTGAATCTTGTTTAATGTTTTTCTTTCAATACGTATTGTATAAGTACAAAGCCAGTATTCCTGCTACCACATAGTTAAAAAGGCAATAAGATAGTAAAGAATTAAAATGGACTTGGCCATTAAAAGTGGTCCATTGCATGTGCCTTTTTGTGTGGGTTCTCCATGATATCGCGCCACCTTATGACTAACGATGCAGTGTTTGCCCAGGTTAACAATCTTGTGTATGATTTTCATAATTTGCACTTGTTCTTGGTTGCCAAGTCTTTTAATCATTTGTGTCTATTCTATGTTGCTAGGTCTGTTACCATGGGTAAAGCTAGTGGATACTTTTGAAGCAGAGTATGAATATATAAGTAATGTTGAAAGTACATTCACCTTCAAAACCAATCTGAATGCACCTCGATATAAACTCATCAATATTGATGTACAAAATCCTGACAAGGTATATTCTGTTTGTTCTGTTATCCTGTCGTAATTACTATGCCAAGTTTCTATACACTTATTATCATTATTACCTCAGTCGTTGTATCACAAACAACTTTAAACATCAGGGGTTAATCCAGAGATGTCCGAAAGTGGGTGGTAGGCTGATTGAGAGATAACACTACCCTAGGGGGTCGTCGGCATGCTGTCTGGGAATTTTTGTTTTATAGATGCCCGGAAATAACCTCTGAAGGTGGGGTGGGGGGTGCTAAATCTACCCCTGAATTACTAGCTGTATTAGAGCTTTTACCTATGAGATACCCACCCACTTGTGGGTGGTGAAAAACAAATGCTGCACCAACTTCTAATTATTTTCCACCACTAGTATTTTTACAACCAATTTAGCAATCTATTTTACAGGACTCTGGTTAATACAAGACCTTAATTGTAAAGCACTTGGGCTTTGTTAAATGTCTGTCCACACTATTAGCTTTTCTTTGATGATGAAACTGTTCTATGCCCATATATAGTCATGATGTGCCTATATATGGTCATATGATGTGATGTCATAGAATTTGATAGTCTGGACACTATTATAATTAATACTATTTCTACTTGATCAGGTTAATTGGAAAGACCTTGTAGCAGAGTCTTCCATTGATGTACTAGAATGGGCCTCCTGCGTATATAGCGACAAGATGGTTCTTGGATATTTACATGATGTGAAGGTAAAATTTTCAATTGTCATTTCTCCTAAAATGTAAACATATGGATGCTGCTGCAGCTTAGAGACTTTATATTTTGTTCATGGTTTACAAGTTTTAATTCAAATTCCACAGAATATTCTCTTTTGATCCAATATTGTCAGGATGTTTCTCAATTGTGATTTGTTAATAGTGATGATTCCTGATGATGACATAATTAATGTTGAAATATTGAATCCAAAAACGATTGCATGCATATCTACTTGGATTATGTATTATACTTTCTTATCCGAGAGACGTTTCAGTGATGATTATAGTAATGGTAATAGTGATGGTGATAGTACTGTGATGGTGATGATAATAGTAGTAATATACATATACTTTTCTTTCATTTTCAGAGTGTATTACAACTACATTCCTTAAAAAATGGAGAATTTTTAATGAGATTCCCTCTTGATGTAGGTTCTGTTACTGGATTTTCTGGCAGGAAGAAAGACACAGAGGTACAGTAAAATAACAAAAGCGATTTTACCAACATCATTTTCTGATTATGAAGCCATAGCATTTATTTAAAAAAAAAAAGGTGTTCACATTCAAAACTGGAAAATGTTTATTGTTACAAGCAACCGTGGTCATCAGAATTATATAAAATACACAATAGAGCATATATATGCTATAATTTAAATTATATTGAAACCAGCTGGTTAAATGTTGGGCAATAGTTCCAGCCGTTCCCTCTAATTCCTACAATATAAGTATTTACTGGGTTTTAATCAGGTCATAGTTCAAAATATAGCACTTGGTGGTCTGGAGGCTGTATTATGTCCCTTGACTTCATTTCAGGACCCTCCAGTTCACTTTAGGCTACATTTTAAATTATGCCCCTCAACCCAGTAAATATTTGTATAATATGCAATGTAGAAACGGAAGACCATAATTAGCATTACTTTGTGTATTTGTCTTCTTTAATAGATGCTATGCAAAAGATATGTTCATGTAGTGGACTAAATATTAGGTTCCTGGGTTCATGTTTTCAGAGTTTCCCTCCAGAATAAAAATCATTACTCTCTAGTTTCATATTAAAATTTAATATACAGTATAGAGCATCATTGACTCTTTATTATTCTTATTATATTGTTTTTCTGTTATGTTACTGTGTCCAGAGAGTGCAGCTAAAGCATTTAAAATTATTATTTACTTGTCTGTTAGATCTTCTACCAGTTTACATCTTTCTTAACTTCTGGTATTATATACCACTGTGACCTAACCAAGGATGAGCTGGATCCAGTGGTGTTCAGGGAGATAAGTGTGAAAGGGTTTGACCCAGCGCTATACCAAACCTCACAAGTGTTCTACTCCAGCAAAGACTCTACTAAGGTCCCAATGTTCATTGTTCATAAAAAGGTATGATTCCCTGTGTGTTGATATATGTAGGCAGCATAGCACAGTTTGTTCAAACTGGTGGCAGCTGTGTTCGCTTCCACATATAGGAATCATTATGTATCTTGTGTTATATACCAAATACAGTACATAGATTCCAGGCGTTTGATTAGTTAAAAGGCAGGTATTAGGGAGGATTTTTTATGCGAATGCATACAGTTAGGGGGACGTATACGTCATCATTTATGACGTCATACACCGGTTGCTATCCACTAACCGTGTGGACGACACACGTATCTCACTCACTACACGTAAGTGAAAAATGCGTAGAAAAATTTTGGATTTCTAGTTGGATCTATTTTTAGTTACATCTAAAAGTTTTACTACTTGTTTTTGATTTATTTTAGGGTATCGAACTGGATGGAACGCACCCTGTATGGTTGTATGGCTACGGCGGATTCAACATCTCAATCACTCCTGGCTTTAGCGTCTCCAGACTTGTCTTCATCCGGTCATTTGGTGGCATCTTGGCTATACCAAATATTCGTGGTGGAGGGTTAGTATGTTTAGCTTGAATAGACACAATCGATGACACAAATGATGGGGATTGAACTGGGGACCAAGTGATCTCCACAGTTTAGCGTACATACCGTGGCTACAACTTGTTTAGCCAACTGAGCTAAGCTGTTATCATTGTTTAATCATAAGGATAGACAGTAACTGGAACCACTTATATATGATTTGAAAATTAGTTCAATATTAGACTGTGGGGCTGAATACAAAAATTTGTAAATTATTATTAACGGACAATATTTTTACTTTTTTGTAGAGAGTATGGTGAAAATTGGCACAAGGGAGGTTGTCTTGGTAATAAACAGAACTGCTTTGATGACTTCCAGTATGCTGCTAGATTTCTTATAGAAAACAAATACACTTCTGCTGCAAAGTAAGTAAAGGAGTATTGTTTTATTGTTGTATTTTTATTGTGATTTTTATACAGAATACAGAAATATTTATTGTCTATACATAAATTTGTTTTGTTGATAGAGCTCAAACAATAAATTGTCATTCATTTTGTAATGGAATTTGCCTCAAATGTGGTTAGACACCACTCACACTGGTCATTGGGTCCACATGCTAAGTGTTGCTGCTGGTAATCAGCGCAGGAGCAGGCCCCACCAGGTACCCATTTATACTCCTGGGCAGAGAGAAGCAATGCAGATAAAGTGTCTTGCTCAAGGACACATGAGAAATGCATAGCATGACTACTAAGTGATGGGCTTCTCGGCATTGATGCGTATGTTAAGGCAGACATTTCTTGTCCATTTCTTAAAACTAATTTAGTTCTTTTCTTTGTTAAGGATAACCATTAATGGAGGATCAAATGGTGGACTTCTTGTAGCAGCCTGTGCCAACCAACAACCAAACTTGTTTGGGTGTGTTGTGGCTCAAGTAGGGTAAGTTACTTCACTACAGGAGGTGTGGGGACTTTCCCAAGCTAACAGCCAAACTACTGGTTACAATGTGTGTATTATCACAATTAGGAGAAATAGTAGTCATTAGCTCAATGAGAATTCAATATATATACCGTATTTATTTTAATAAACACCCCCAGAGCCTCATTTGTAATAACCGCCTCCCTCGAATAAACACCCGGGCATTTTATTTTCTTTAAATAAACACCCCCCCAAATGATAGTAAACAAAACAAATGAAAGCAACACATTCTCAATGCATTCTATTAATGTTCGTACCTGGTTGGGATCAATAAGTCTTTATGATCATGCATTAACAAATTTTGGTGGTAATTATGTGTTGTAGTGCCACATTTACAGTGATATCAAGGGGCGTTTGTTTGAGTATATCCATTTTACACCCGAAAAAATATATACATCCCTCGAATAAATGCCCCCATAAAAACCTTTCTCAACAATACATGACTCAGAGCCTTAATTTAAATAAATACAATATATACAACAGATTACACCACCATCATAATAAATTGTTCAAATTTAATTAAATAATTTTCATTTTTTTCAGAGTTCTAGACATGTTGAAGTTTCACAAATTCACAATTGGACATGCATGGACCACAGACTTTGGTTGCTCAGATAAAAAGGATGAGTTTGACTGGCTTATAAAGTAAGTAAATTGTAATGTTATTCTCAAACCCAGGCTAATGGGTGTTTCTGATCAAAATAGTGTTTTTTTTTTTATGTCTATACTAAAGAAGCCATACAAATCCAGAAAAGCTACATATATTGCAGAAACGTGCTGCCAGAATAATTACTCATTTTCATTATAGAAAACCATCTCTTTTTAAAAACTTAATATACTCAATATACAATCTTCATAAAATACAAAATGGCAACTTTTATATATAGGTTTATCCATAAGACACTTCCAGTATCCATGCTTGTTATGTTGAATTACTATGAGAATAGAAAGCCCAACTCTTACAACTTGAGAAATCCTATATATACAGTACCTTCTTTTCGACTTAATTGTCAGTGTTATTACTGATGCAGGTCCAAGGTTATGGAATGATCTATGTTACAAAATTAACAAATTTACTAGTTTACCAGTATTTAAAAAATGCTTGGAAGTTACATTATTTTCCGATACCAAAATTAAGTATTACTATTATCATTTATTATTATTATTATTATTATTATTATTATTATTATTATTATTATTATTATTATTATTAATTATTATTATTATTATTCAAGGGTCACTATGAGAACCAGGCTTGCCTTCTGATTGTGATCCTAACAATGGCTTTTATATTCTTTTTTTGCCTCTATACAACTGTTGCAATGTGTGTAGTCCATTGTTGAATAAAGTTGTTGAATTAGATTATTATTGAAGCCCATTATGAGACCATTATTACTTTTTTCATTTGCTAGGTACTCTCCTTTGCACAACATCCGTGAACCTGAAAATGATGATGTACAGTACCCAAGTATGCTGCTATTAACAGCTGACCATGATGACCGTGTCTCACCTCTGCATTCTTTAAAGTTTATAGCCGAGTTACAAGAGACGATGAGAAATGTCAAAAAGCAGACCAAGCCACTGCTTATCCGAATAGACACAGAGGCTGGCCATGGGGCTGGTAAACCTACAGCTAAAATCGTAAGTAGTTTTTCTTTTATCTGATTAAGAAACTTTTTCTAATCATATTAAAAATTAGCTTGCTCATAAAAATTATCAACTTAAACATAGCAATTAGTGTTTAAAAAAAATATTTACTGGTACTTTTACAGTGAAAAATTATAGAAACACTTCCAGTTACTGGAATTGTTTAATAATTTTTATCATTATTCAGTGTAAAATCAGGGTACACATTTCCTAAATTCAATCATTTCTATGCTCTAATCATTTGTATGTTACTGCATATTAATGTGTGTATTTTTGTTATTCCTTTACCTGTAGATTCAAGAGTATGCTGACATTTTGTCATTTGTAGCTGAGAACCTTGGCCTAGAATGGAGTAATTGAATAATGAAAAACTTGACTTTGTAGCCTCTTAGTGTTTATAAACCTTTTTTCGTAAACTTATTTGTATAATGGTATATGAATGGACTTTCCTAGAGTGCCAAACTTCCGACCAATCAGAACAGAGCCAGGAATATGCATGTGTCCAAAAAAACAACGTTTGTTCCACAAATGTTTATGTATGCATAAATTGTGTAAAAAAACTTTGGCCGTCTTCTGATTGTTGGAAGCAGTCTGAACAGATTGTCATTAAAAACGTTCTAGTGGCATTCTCCATGTAATCGCATCGTCTGACCGTCGGCCGACCGTCATGTGCTGTGAGTAGCAACAAGTTCCAAGGGGCGGGCTTCGCGAAAAAGTCCATTCATACTAAATATTGCTAATAAAGAATTGGTAAAGCTAGAATATGTTAAATGACATAATAATAGCTCTACAATTATGACTGAGACAGATTTGTGTAATTGTGCCCATATGTGGGCATGATGATGTCATATTATACCCAAATATGGGCATATCACATTTATTGGTCACATAAAATGTGGAAGTTTGAACAGAGCTTATAATGGATAATTGATTTTAATCAATGTAATACTGAAATATGGGGTGAGGGTGGAACATAATGTTAAATGTTTTTTGTTTGGTTTTTGATATTCTTGTGTTCATGATGGAAAAAATAAATGGAATGACGCACAAGTCAAACTAATTATCCATGTTGTGTTTGTTGTGTTTTACAAACTGATAAAAAAATGACAGCTTAATTCCTCCATGTTGTATTTGTTGTATCTAGAATGAAACAAGTACTTATTATTTTACATTCAAAGATGTATACAAGAACAATACTAGAGCTGTCGCTCCAATCCATGGAGTGCATACCTCCACCCTGTGCCTGTATACGAAAAACATGCAGGCCGTGCATGATGGGTGATTGCATTATATTCCGTCCATTTGCTGAATTTTGAAGAAAACGCAGGCCGTGTATGGTGGGCGTAAAAAATGCTACATTGACACTACCGCATTTAGAATCACTACACTCTATAGTTGTCGTTAGTAAGTTTGAATGCTCTTTGATTTATTTTGAAAAATAGGAACATATTCAGCTACAGGAGGAGTAATATGGTGGCGTTTACACCACCTTGCATAGATAAAGATTAAGATCAGATTCAGATGAAGACATTCGTTTATTGTTACTTTACGAACTGCACACGTTTATAATTTTGTATTTATTCGAATAAACACCCCAGGGTGTTTCATGTTGAAAAGGGTTGTTTAGGGGTGTTTATTCGAGGGAGGAGTTCCATTTTTTTGTGTGTGTATACTGTAGTCAAATAGACGCCCATTAATTTCACTGTAAATGAGGAACACATAGTTAACATCAGAATGTGTTATTGCGTGTTCATAAAGACTTATTGATCACAACCAGGTTAGGAAATACAACATTAATAGAATGTGTTGAGAATGATGTTGCTTCCATTAGATCTGTTTACACTCACTTAGATGGGGGAGGGGGTGCGTTTATTCAGGGAGGCGGATTCGAAAAAGGCTGCATGTTATCAGTGGAGTACGGTGTGCATCATCACCATTGACGAGGAAAGAGTGAATGATAAATATTTGGTAAGAGGTATTGTGAGAGAAGGAAAATGTAATGCAATTGTAGAATTCAAGAGGAGTGAACCGGTAGCATCACTGACGACTCAACCAAAGACAGAAATGAAGTATAACGTGATACAATCAATTTATTGCATTTAGAATTTCAACACATACTCAGGATTTGATATCATTAATATAATAACCTGCAAAAGGTCCTAGGTCCTACGAAAGATACATCTAGCAATTTAATTTAAGTTCTCATTTATTCAATTCAGAAATTCAACACAGTTAAGTCAATATTTCAAACAATTTTCAATAACACACACAAGATTTGACATCAATAACACATAATGTATAGGTCATACGAAAGATACTTTTATCGATTTAAGTTCTCCTTAACTAGCTCATTAATTAGCTTCTACATTATTATCATTATTTAATTCTGGCCAAAACTTTGATCTCATTGCCATCTCATGCTTGAGTATAGTAGCATTCTCCTGGTCAACCTGTTTCTTCAGAGATGATGGAAGATCAACTTTCGTACGCGATGACACTTTGTGAAGCAACCCTTCAGGATGGTGCACACCTTTTGAGATTTCATTACATAAGGTCAATAGGTCATAATTAATCTTGTCCGTGATAACTGAATCGTGTTTATAGTCAGGATGCTGCCTCACATAATCTCTCATCCAGCGAGCAGTTGTTTTCAGTTTACCTGAAAGATGGAAATATATACAGTATATAAAAAGAAATATGAAAGTGAAAAAATCGAATTCTGTTCCTACTAGCCGCTTTAAAGACATAGAATCCAATCGAAGGCAACACATTTTACCAATACAATGAACAATCACTCAGGCTATGTTCTCACACGGCAGCTAACGGTTAGCAGGATCCGGATCCTGCTAACCGTTAGATGATGATCGAATCACAATATGATGATCGAATCACTGGCCAATAATAAACTGGAAATTGTAAACGCCTACGTACGTGTGATTGGTTGATGATAGAAACGCGCTCAACTTGCTAACCGATAGCGTATCCGGATACCGCTAACGGTTAGCACTAACCGATCGGGCGTTCTCACGCAGGTGCTATTATTTATAAATGTATTTTTATTGCAATAATGTCATCACTAAAGTATAAAATATAAAATTGAATTTAATATATTATCAAATAGCAATTAAAAAAGGCCCAAATTTTGTAATTGATAGCATGTAAAAAATAAAAATTTAAATTTAAATGGAATTCAAATGAAATTAAATTCAAATTTAATAGTGAATTATTTCAAATGCAGAATTGTCTGACAAATTTGTTATTAAAAAGTCAAATTGCTGACGGAAGAATAGAATATGTTTGACTAATCCATGACGTAGTAGCAAAAAAATAAAAATATTATGAAGAGGATTGTTGCATCATAGATTGAAAATTTGTAAGAGTGAAAAATATTGTAGTCTTAATTCTCTATTTGATTTTTTCTTAGAGATTTTTAAGTCTCAACCAGTATAATAATAGTATACTGTAACTTACCAGCAGCTCTGTCTGATATCAGATTGAGGTAAGCTAATATAGTATATCTTGTGTCCACATCGATACTGACTGATTGAAGGTACTGATTTATGAGAGGTATAATACCAGGGACGTCTGCTTCGCCATCTAAAGGACCGCCATTAATAATTGTGTTAATATCCATTAATGCATACTCATCAGCGCTCTTACTTTTACAATCCTTAGAACCTGTAAGAAAAAAAATCAGCCATTTAAAGATACCAAATTATTCACTTTACATTATGTGTTTCTATATACTGTATAATATAACGAAAGGTAAATAGACTTACATGTACGTACATCTTTTCTAAAATAGAACTTCCCATTTAAAACAGCATCTCTTTTATTACCTTCTATAAGGTTTGCATCAACCTGCAATATAGAGCTAAATTCTATAAGTAATTGAATCGGTATGTAATATTTTTAAAGACCAGGTTCAGGATGTCATACAATTTTGTCACCCAAAAATATGAGTACTACATTGGTCCCTAAATACCTTCTATATCATACCACCTTTAGAATATTTGTGGACATATTGATGTAAAAATTAACTGACGTATACCGTAGTAGCCTTCTTCAGTTAAGGACGTCCGAAATATTTAACACAGATATAATTCAATATAATGTTTAGCATGAGGCAAAATTCAAATACAGTTATCATCCCTTTGTTGTTTCGGACTATTTTATAATACAATAATATGACATAACGTTATATTATTAACGTTAAGCTAAATCCATCTTAGAGCTTTTTGAGGCGAATTTGTCACCAAAAAATAGAACAAGCCTACACAGAGTATACCCTGTGCCCTTTTCAATTTATTTACAGAATAACTCTTTTGGATTAAAGATAACTTCTTGAAATATCAGTGTAGGCATATGGTATTTAATTTTTATTATGGAATGCTGTTTCTTTATAATGGGTTACAATCTTAAAATACATAGGCCTAGTACATATGGCCTACTTTACCTTAGATATAGGCATAAGAAAGTCTAGCTTGAAACTCAAAATTATTCTTGTTATAAGAAGAAGAAAGACAACATATGCAGCATTCTCGAAGTCTGTCAACTGAACCTAAGCAACAAACAAACAAATATATTATTAATCCTAAACGTTATTGTCATCGCGCCATTATCACCATCTTCAACATCGTCATCATCACCATTTTTACAGTATAACCTTCAATCAAAAAAGTTTACTCTTTAAATATTTGGCGAAGATAAGACAAGCCAAACCAGTCGACTCCTTGCAAATCGTGTTTCGGAGAAAATGGCCAAAACATGTTGGAATGTCAACTGTTTATTGCACTAAACTTAAACTCTACATATATCATGCTTTGTTGCTACAGTATCTTCCTCATTTGTGACGATAAAACAACATTTTCTGCCTGAAAAATGTCTGAAATCGTATACTTTGAAGGCTGAAGGCTGATGGCTCAAATGCTGTGATTTAACCAGCTGTATGTTTAAAATCCTGACGTAACCTAATTAAAATGGGTTTTGTTTACCATTTTATAACTTCTATTTTACTGCTTAGCCCTGTCCAGTACTGATGACTAAAACTGATTTTTGGCGGAGAGTGGCTGGTTTGGCTTGTCTTTGCCACATATGAAGAATATTTCATTCATTGGATATCACATTGAAGTTTTATTGCAACAAAAATTTAGCAACTGATCTTAAGGTTTGCAACAAGTTTATCGAGAACACGTGATTTATGTGTTTTATAATATTATAATAATTTATTTATTTATTATAATAATATTTATAATAATTTTTTAATAATAGAAATTAAGAAAAAGTTTCATACATCCATTGGTCTGAATTCCACTCTCCACCCTATTGTAGAGTTGACTGGCGGTGGTTTAAATCGTATCGTCTGCCAATTGGTTGATTGGATATTCTGTAGAAAATTAAATACATGCGAATTTATAAACTACTGAAACCATTTTATAGATTATTACTTAAGTCAAATTGTATATCATTCAACCATATATAATATATATAATAATAATCTGAAAAATAAGGTATTAGTACCAAAAGTATCAAATACTAATAATATTAATCATATTGGACTAGGTGAATTGTCTAGCACTGTAAACACACCATAAACAAATATGAAAATGATAATTACAGGACTTGAATATAAAAACATGATGTTCTATAAATGTACATTTTAATTCCTTTCTTTTGGTTTTGTATTCTTCCTTTTTTTGTGCACTTGGGCTGTGGCTTCTCAGCGTAGAGACGATTTTGAATTATCCGCTTTTACAAGTATATCTCCATTTCCAATTTATATTTTGTTTATGTTTTTGAAAGTTACATGCAAATATCCAAAGTAAACAAACCTCAAAATGATCTGAATCACGTGAGTCGTCTTGGTGAATATGTTCCGAGAATATGGAGACAGAGTCTCTGATAAATAAGTGGGATATGTGTCGCGCCAGGGACTGATCGATTCCTACAATATATAAATCACATTTTGTGATTTATATCATTATCATTTATCATTATCATCTTCATCCTCCAACATCATTTTTCCTCATGTTCTTCTCATCTTCACAACAAAATCATCAATTTGTCGTTGAAATCATAAACAATATCATCATCACCATCATTGTTGTTGTCGACATCGTCATCATCATGGCATGAACGTTATCATCACATAATATTGCTCAAATTTAAAATCATCCATTGACATGGAGTTGTATCTAGGCTTGTCACTAATCTAGACCAATCGGTTTAACTTAATATCGAAAACCTGGGATACTCGGTCAACAGACCCTGTGTGACTCTGTTATCCCAAAAAGAAATACATACAGATAAATCATCTCATTTAATTGGAATGTACGTAATGGGAAACATTGTATATTTTCTCTACTTACCTGCATCTATAAGTCGCTTATATACATCTTTATCAATGACTAAATCGATGTCATTGTATCGTTCACTGGATTCTGACAAATAGCTATCAACTGAGTCAAACCTGGACTTGTAAATTCGATGTTTACTTTCGTTGAGTTCCTAATAAAGAAAACAGTTACAGTATATGCTTGGCTGAATTTGTATGTTAGTTAATAGATTATTAATAATTATGATAAGCTAAAGTAATAAGGCCAAAATATTTTGTTATGTTTCCAAACACCGCGGCATTTGAAAATTAGAAAGATTAGCCCTGCATGAGCCAATTAGCTATGAGCTGAGGAAAATTTCTATATAATTGTCTCGATTTTATGAGCGACGTATTGGTACATAATTTGGACGACTGTGAAGTGTATCAATATAGTTATACTTATTCTAAAGCTGGGGTGGTGCCCCTGACGGGGGACCGATGCCCCGACGAGGGGTCAGATTTCCCCGACGAAAGCAAAGTGGGCGTGGTCGAGCTTCGATTAAAAGGTTTCGAAAGTGGTGTTTTGACAAATTTAGGGGTTTCAAAGGCTTATTTAATCGATTTTAGAGTCTACTAATATATGTAGAAAATACATATAATTTTTTTTCTCCCCGACGAATTGTGGGGGGCGGCCCACCCCGCTGGCGCCACGCCTGTTCTAAAGTCAGCTTTAACACTATGCAAATATCAAATATGGTTACACTTCGTTTTCAGGTACGCTGTGTTGTAAAGCAGTGGCGTATCTCATGGCCGGCGGAAGCGGGGGGGGGCGGGGCCCCTGACCTATTTCAAGAGGGGAAAACCTTGAATTGTGAAGAACTTTAAAAGACATTTCAGAAGTCAGGAAAGCTCATCTCCGGCCATCTAGAAATCAAAATTTTTCCGGAAGAACCCGGACCCCCTTTATCTTTGGAGTTCATTGATTAATTGAATCATTTTCAAGGGGGTGGACCTTGAATTTTGAAGAATTTAAAAGTCATTAAAAGACACCACAAAAGTCGGGAAAGCTCATTTCCCGCCACCTAGGAATCAAAATTTTCCCGGGGAAGAACCA